AGAACTTGTAATGCTAATTACTCTTGCCTATACTTCTCCTTTAAACCAGCCAATGAGGGAGCTGCCCAAACACTAACCCCCAAACCAGCCAGTGGGGATTGTATCAATACCCTTCACCATGAGACACATTCTAAAACCTATGTGATATGTTAGTTAGTAGAGAAAATATCAGTGAGGTATGAGAGCATCTTAGGTGCATTAGCTTTGGAGGACTAGGAGAAAAAGGACGAGAGTGTTTGAGAAATAGTCTAAGGATTCAGATTTCAACATCTGTCATAACCAGAGAGAAAAAACATATTTCAATCTGATAAATGTATATATCTGATATTTGTATAAATTGGTTGACATGTACATATTTATCAAGTAATAGATATGTGCATAAGTTAATAAATACAAAATATATCTATAGATGTATGAATATTTACATAGAGGTAGAAAGCAATTGAGAGATTAAAAGGCATATAAATCAGTTTTGAAAGTATAAAAATAAGTGCTGAGATCTTAAAGCCAAACAGAACTTAAGAGGTGGGGAAGTTGGAGGATCCTGTCCCTCAGTGTTCATCTGTGCTGTCAACAGAGGCTCCAGTACAAAGTTTGGAGTTAAGAGACAGTCAACGTCCACTACACAGAGAACCTTCTCTGATGAGGTCCAAGAGCTACGCTAATCTAGGGTACACAGATCTAGAGGGCAGTTTGAAACTATGTCTATTTACCAAAACCACAGTGGTAGGTTCACCCTTGGGGCCTGTAAACACCCCAGCCATGGATTCTTGGCCAGATTTGCAGTACAAGGCATGTGTTTCCTCCTGTGGAAGTGGGCCTTGAATGCAATTAGAAAGTGGTTTGGCGCCACTGTCCCCAGGCTGGTCAGTGTTACATCTTTCTCTGTATTATGGATGGGAGCTAATGTGGAAACTCACAACTGATCAAAGTGCAGAGAATGCATGTGGACTGATCAGCCACAAATGGGACGTCTACACCACACCCCCCGTGGCTCAGGGAACATCACTGGAGAGAGGGTGGTGTTTAAGAGCCAGGGGCTGGGGAAGATTGGGGCCAAACAGTGTCTTCTGAACATGGCAGAATGGCTGCACTCATGAGCTTACAGCTGCTGTGGCTGCCTGCACAAGACCTGCACAAGATCAAGCCAGTCGGCGTCCAGCATGGACTGGGAAGTGTTTTGTGCGCCCCCACCCCTAGCTGAGGAGCTGTGAATGGTCGATGGCTTCTGGGAGAAGGAGGATCAGTATTCTCTAAGGGCTCCTGGTAGGTTGGCCACGCTCTAGCAGATGGCCCACATGCAGGAGTTCATGGACAGCACAAACTGGAGTTGATGGGTTATTACATTTTCAGAAAGAGCACAGGGTGGGCGAGTAGGGAGGTGGGTGGATTCAAGAGAAATTACCAGGAAGCACTGGGGTGAATATGATCAAAATATATGAAATTCTCACAGAATTAATAAAATATTTATTTTTTTAAAAGAGAGCTGGCTGTGAATCAGGTCCCACCTTCCAAATGCTGAAAGCTAACAAGGCAAAGCGCATGGAGGACAGAGTGAAAAGTGAGCTCAAGGCAGAGTCAGAAGCAGAGCTTAGCTTTTATAACAACAGACCAAGCCTCAAAGATATGTGCAACTCAGTAAAAGCTTTGACTAACTCAGGAAGGAAAATCCAGAAACAGGGCACATCCTAGAGATAGGCTGAAAGCAAGCTGCTCGCAGAGGTCAAAGATAAAAGCAAGAAAGTAAACACATTGTTTGAAAATGCAGCGACTACAGTCAATACCAGACAGGCTGTGTTGGGGAACAAGATGCATAATTTAACACAAGTCACTCCAAAATGATATATGGAGCATTCCACAGTAAAGTCCAGCGGTTATAGCTGTTAGTGCATTGCAGGGAGCTTCAGGACTCAGCAAGCAGAGCTCAGGGTGTCTGTCATACAGCTCCTCAGTCCACAGTGGATAGGTGGAAAGGAGGGAAAATGCAGGGTTTTTATTTTAAACATGTTTAAATTTATATATATATTTATTTATATTTTATAGAATTACATATAATTTATATATATATATATTCCTTGGTAATTTTATACATGAATACATGGAGAAGGAGGTGATGGAGATGATGGAGACGATGATGGGGAAGAAGTTGATGGAGGTGATGGAGGAGGTGAGGAAGGAGGTGGTAGGGAAGGAGGTAGAGGTGGTGATGGAGGAGGTGAGGAAGGAGGTGGTGGGGAAGGAGGTAGAGGAGGTGATGGAGGAGGTGATGAGATGGCCAGAGTTCACAGTGATTTGAGCTCACATACCACAAAACAGCCTCCCAAGACCGTCATTCTTGCATCTGGTGCTGGAGCTAACAGGCCACAGGTCAGGCAGTAGGAGAAGAATGAACTATCCAGGAGAAATAAGACGATACTGGAGGCCACAGCATGAGCAGCGCCCACAAGTGTAGACAGGTCACCATCTTTCAAAGTCTCCATATTGGTGACTGTCTTGCCAGTGCTTAGCCTTTCCTTATACACTTGGATAGGAGGGGGGAGGGAGAGAGAGGGAGAATGAGAGAGAGAGAGAGAGAGAGAGAGAGAGAGAGAGACGAGTAGGGAGGTGGGTGGATTCAAGAGAAATTACCAGGAAGCACTGGGGTGAATATGATCAAAATATATGAAATTCTCACAGAATTAATAAAATATTTATTTTTTTAAAAGAGAGCTGGCTGTGAATCAGGTCCCACCTTCCAAATGCTGAAAGCTAACAAGGCAAAGCGCATGGAGGACAGAGTGAAAAGTGAGCTCAAGGCAGAGTCAGAAGCAGAGCTTAGCTTTTATAACAACAGACCAAGCCTCAAAGATATGTGCAACTCAGTAAAAGCTTTGACTAACTCAGGAAGGAAAATCCAGAAACAGGGCACATCCTAGAGATAGGCTGAAAGCAAGCTGCTCGCAGAGGTCAAAGATAAAAGCAAGAAAGTAAACACATTGTTTGAAAATGCAGCGACTACAGTCAATACCAGACAGGCTGTGTTGGGGAACAAGATGCATAATTTAACACAGGTCACTCCAAAATGATATATGGAGCATTCCACAGTAAAGTCCAGCAGTTACCAGTCAATACCAGACAGGCTGTGTTGGGGAACAAGATGCATAATTTAACACAAGTCACTCCAAAATGATATATGGAGCATTCCACAGTAAAGTCCAGCGGTTAT